CAAGTCGTGTCATAAGCCTTTTCCAGGTCAAAAAGGACAGCACCAACGGAGGTCTTCGCAGCAAAAGCAGTACGAATATAGATCTCCAAGTTCACCAGGACATCAGTCGTGCTGCGGCACTTGCGAAAACCAAATTGAGAAGAAGAGAGGTGGCGATGGTGTTCCAAGAACCACATCAGACGGACATTTACCATACGGTCAAAGAGCTTGCAAACACAACTCGTGAGAGCAATAGGGCGGAAGTCCTTAGGGGACGTACCGAGAGACCCTGGTTTCCGAATAGGGAGTACAATGGCATCGAGCCAGTCCTCAGGGACGGACGACGACTCCCAAACCTGGTTATACAGACAGTAAATACTGAGACGTGCACGGAGGGAGATGGCGAAGCATATAATGAACGTCATCCGAGCCCGCCGCCGTAGACCCGCAGAGGGCCAGGGCAGACTGAAGTTCAGAAAGAGAGAAAGGATCGTTATAGGGAAGACGGAGATGAGCCCGGAAATCTTAAGGATAAGATTCAGGAACAGGCTTACGAAGAAGGAAGGATTGAGGAAGATGAGAACCAGAGTTAACAGAAGAAAAGTGGGAACCCAGTTCGGTTGCGACCTGCACTGGATCCGCCACAAGAGTACCACGGAGATGGAGAACCGGCGAGACATCTGGAACGAACTTACCCGCAATCTTGCGGATCTTCTTCCAGATCTGCGGTAGAGGAGTATCGGACGTAATGGTGGAAACATCAGATTTCCAACTCTCACGTTTAGCAGTACGGATTGTCCTACGGGCCACCGCACTTGCCTTCCGAAACAGAATAATAGAATCAGCCGTCTGCCGGCGGCGGTGTTTTTCCAGGCTGCACGCTTACAGCGGGCAGCCCGAGCAGTCCGCATTCCACCAGGGAACACACTTCCGTGTGCCCCGGGGGGAGAGCGAGGAATAGAGTGGAGGGCAGCGTTGAAGACAGTGTCATAAAAAAGGAGGAGGGCGCGAGGAAGAGGCAGAGAGGAGAGGTCAGAGAGAGTAGCACGGAGAGTGAATAGGCACCAGTCAGCCTTGGCAAACTGCCACCTAAGGAAGGAAAGGGGAGGGTGGAAAGAGAAAAAGGAAACGAGAATGGGGAAATGATCACTGTTATGGATGTCATCAAGAACCTGCCACGTGAAATCTAAGTAAAGGGACGACGAGCAGAGAGAAAGATCAAGACAAGAAAGGGTGCGAGTGCGAGAGTCCACATGAGTGGGCTCATCAGAATTCAGAAGAGATAGAGAAGAAGCAAGGACGAACGGTTCGAGAAGACGGCCTCGGGTGTTTGTCAGAACATTACCCCAGAGGGAATGTCGACAGTTGAAATCACCCAAAAGGAGCACCGGCTCTGTTAAGGAGTCCAGGAGGTGCTTAAAATCAGGAAGGGAAAGAGGGACATTTGGAGAGAGATAAATGGAACAGACTGTATACCATTTACCCACAAAAACACGGGCAGCAGAACAATGGATAGGGGACGGAAGAAGTAGGGGGACGAAGGGAGTATCAGAACGAATTAAGAGAGCAGTAGAGTTATGGGGCTTAGCAAGAGCTGGGGGGGGGGGGGGAAAAAGAAAGGAATAACCACGAAAGTGACCAGGACGAGCACCAAGCATTGGTTCCTGGAGACAAACACAAAGCGGTGTAAACTGTGTAATTAGAAGTTGGAGTTCATGAAAGTTGGCATAAAAGCCACGAATATTCCACTGAAGAATAAACATTATCAAAGAGAATGACAGTAGCAGAGAACAAGAAAGAAATAAAGGTATAGAAGAACAGTTTATTAAAGCATCTCAGGATCAGGGTCAGGATCGGGAGCAGGGTCGGCAAAATCAGGGTTAGGAGCATGGGTAAACTTAGTAAGGAGAGAGGGAAGGGAGCAAGAGGACAGACCAGAGGCGGACTGACGGGGTCCGGAGGAGGAGGAGACAACTGAGAGGGGCAGGCAAGGACAGTTGGAGGAGGAAGGGGGGCAGAAGGCAGGGAGTGCACCTCAGCAACAGAGAGGGAATCAGGGGGTGAAAGAAACCTCCATATCAGAGACAGGGGGTTCGACTTCTGAAATGGGAGGGGATGTAGTGACAGAGTCAGAGGGAGGGGGTGAGGAAGAAAGTGAATCCTTCTTACCCGCTGGAGAGGAAGAAGGAGAGTAGCCAGGCTTACGTTTCTGACTCGAAGAGACAGGTATTCCAGTAACAACATACCGGGCGACAGACTCAATGGTCTCAGCAGGAGAAGAGGAGCGGTAGCGAATAACAGGAAGATTGCTGGGAGGATGATGGATATCAGCCTGGACAGACAGGTGGCGAGGAGGGTCAAGAGACTGGGGGGGGGGGGTCGGGAAGAAAGAGTGGGGGGAGATGGGGAAGAAGACAAAGGAGATATGGTGGACTAGGTAGGAAAGGGGGGAAACCCCAGATGGAGAACCGGGAGGGAGACTATGTGGGACAGGAGGCAAAGGAATAGGGAAGGAGGTGGTGGGTGTGGTCGGGTTTAAGGCCTGGAAATGGTTGTGAGACTGATGAAGACGGGAAGGACGAGGAGAGGTAAAACGCAACAGGCGAGCGTAGGAGACGCCCGCGAAAGGGGTGAGACGACGAACTTGGCGTCTCGCTTCAGGAAAAGACAGACGATCACGATGGTTCAAGTTGGGGACGGCTTCTTCGAGTTTGTAGTGCATACACGAGCGTGAGAAGGTAGGGTGGGCTTCATCGCAATTGAGGCAGCGAGCCTGGAGAGAAGTGCACTCTGACTTAGAATGACTATCGTCCCCACACAAGGGGCACAGATACACAGTACTGGTGCATTTGAGGACATCGTGCCCGAACTTTCAACACTTATTGCATAGTCAAGGAGAGGAAATGTACTCCTGAACGGAGCATCTAGCACCAGCAAGAATAATAGAGGATGGAAGGGCCCTACTATCAAAGGTGATTTTTACAACTCGAAGGGGCTGACGGCGACGACCACGAAAGGGGTCTAGTAAACGTGTCCACCTGGAGGACAGAATGGCCTTGGGCTTCGAGGATATGTTTAATATCCTCATGGCAATCTTTGACGTCCCGAACACCAGTTGCAACATGGTGTGGGAGGAGAACAGTGCCAACACTGGCATTTAACCGAGCGTTCTTGGAGACCCGAACAGGGGTCTCTCCAATGCAGGACAAAGCGGCTAAGTGAGTAGCTGCATCCTGAGAAGAAGCAGCGACGACACGCGTACCGTAACTGGTGGAGTTAAAAGTAACAGAGGCATCTACTGAATCAACAAGGTGTTTATGGAGGGAGAAATCGTCAGGAGGAGTAGAATCCAGATGATGGAGATCAAAGTATTTAGCCCACGTAGCGGGATCAAACAAGGCGTTGTAAGTACTATTACGGGAAGGAATCGTGCGAGTGCGGCCGTGGCGGGAACGGCGTTGAGAACCCCCGGAGTTCATGGGGGTAAAAGGCGCAGTAGTCACAATGAGAGACGGAGCCGTTTCAGGGGACGAGGTGGTCACCATTGGGGGCTGGGGACTCGACCCTACCGCAGAGGAGGGAGGGGAGCTGAGGGGAGTAGTCAGGTCGTCGGGGCCCAATGCAGCAGGGGCTACAGGGCCTGGTCTACCAGAACAGTCCGACTCGGGGGCTTGGTCGCCCACCCCACGAGCCTGAGAAGGAACAAGGAAAACATTATCTGCCATGAAAACGAGGGAAAACTTTCATTCACGAATGTGCCCCCACACCCACCATGGAGCCACAATTAGAGGCAGGACACCCAACAAGAAGCTATCGCCGATCTTGCCGGGGACCCCCAGGGGTGCGTCGTGAATATACGCCCACAAACGCCACCTTAAGAACCATGAGTCCGTCGAGAGCGGGTTCAGTGACGAAAGGGGGATTGACAATAAAAGGGTCCCCTCGCTCGAGACGTTGGGTACTACAGTTTTACGGGTGCAAGAGTATGCCTCCTCAAACACCCGGATGTCAAAACAAAAGAAGGACGAAAGAATAATCAAAACAGGCAAAAGGTCGGCAGGAAATGACAATTTGACAGGAGAAGAGGCGGGGAGAAAAATGAAACACGAGGAAAAGGAAAAGGGGTCTGGCAAAATTGGTAAAGGCAGCAGCAGGAGCATAAGGCTGCAAAAGGACAGAGGACTGACCCATGGAGCATCACACTCCAGCAGCTGCCCACCAAGCCCCCTCACGGCGACAACGAGCCAGACAGTGAGGGGGGCAAGGCAAATAGTTCGGCCTGAAGGGTAGAGGTCCAGTTGTTTATACGGACTCCCCACTCAAAATATAATCCATCACTCATTGTCAGAACAACTGCACTTCCAGCTGCACCCGTGGTGCGGTGTAGGGAACCATCAGTGTATATGATATGAGAGAGAATGCTCTGTGGACAGAGCATCAATATGGCTTAAGGCGTAATTTCCTCAAGACGAAGCTCGGACTGATCTCTAATTTGTTTCTTGGGGTGGAAAGGGAGGGATTAAAGTCGGAAAGGGTGTAATCTCGTAGGAAAGTGCCGTTGTTGTCTCTCTTGGTACAAATTATAAATCTGGTGCATTCTGAGTTCAGTTCCAGTTTTAGTTATCCATTTGGAACAATGTTGACCTTCAATAAAGAATTTTTGGAAGACTTCAGTGCAAGGGTTAGGATGAGCTAGCCTAAGCACTTTTATACCAATTTGACAGTTAATTTCAGTAACACGATCAACAACGCTCAGAATATTAAGTTCCTTTCTCATGTTAAATATCTTTGTGGTACGAGGGCACCCAAGGATTATCCTCAAGGCTTCGTTCTGCAATTTTTCAAGCCCTCCAAGCTTTCTTTCGGGCATCAAAACAAGCAGAGGAGCAGCATAATGCATTAAAAATGTTATGCATGTAAGGTTCATCATACTAGATAATTCAAGAAAATATTTAGATCAATCCGAACTTTTTGTAACAAAGAAAACGTTTGTGGTGGCGGAGGTAAGTAAGCGAGCGTCTGACGCCGTCACAACAACTTCTACCACAGCCAAGGCCTCTGGAAAAGCGTTTCCGAGGACGCCAGGGAAATCTAGCCAGAGCGACGGCTCTTCAGACCTCGCTCAACATCTCTTCCAATCATGGGGAGGCGAAGTAATATTTACGCACATTTCACTTGCTATAAAAAGATCATTCCTTTATTAACAGTAACACTTGAATTCAGGTTCACAATGTTTTTCTGTCTATTACTGTGTTTACCAACCTTCGTTTTGGCCTACTATCCAACATTAGTTTCTTTTCGCCATAATGAAAGAATAATTTGTCTCTACTTGTAGTTGGTGTCCTAAAAAATGAAACATTTAAACAATCAAGGAATAATATCAGATGAACTAATGTTTAGTGACTACAACAGCAAAGATTCACAACACGTGGGAGCTACAGTAAAAAAGTAAACCAAATTCTAGGAATAGTCAAACAAAACTTGAACATCATGGAAAAGAAAGCAGTTATACAAATGTATAAATCTTTCATGCCCCCAAATACAATGCAAAGGGAATATGAAATTTTAGGCCTAAAGCCTCAAAATGCATTTTTATGTTTCCTCGAAAGTGCTGGAACATGTTGGGAAAGGATACACACTACTTTGGAACAGAGTGCAGATACTTCCACCCTAAATTATGCAAACTTCAAATTAATGTTTCCATGTCTGCCATGTTCCCCCCCCCCTTTTTCCATTTTTTTTCATATTTTTTCTCAACACAATTTATACTTTAATCTCAATTAGTATTAAGTTTTAGTCTTAGTGTTTTTCCTGCCTGAAACGCTTTGCGTAATAATGGCTTTAGGCATTGTATGTACTAGCTCTATCTATAAATTCATCAATGTTTGTATTTTACCTTGTATGTATGTACTTTACCTGAATAAATATTTGTATTTGTTTATTTGTTATAATGAGAGGAAATGCTACAATAAAAAAACCAGCTGATCCAGAACTTTCCTCAGGATTTGGTCTAATTCTGAAAGTTCACCTGAGCTTGAAATATTAAGTTAATAGCAACATATTAGGTTAATAGACACTGCCTAGCCTGGAGGTTAGGCAGTGTTATGCTTGCATATTACATGTAATGTACAATATTAGACTAATAGTATAGAAATGTAATGCAGTACTTAAAATATATATTATAGTTTTAAAATAGCCACTGTTTTAAGATTTTGTCTGGCATTCTTTTTCTTATAAAGAGTCAACTTAGCCTTTTTGGGGTAATTTACATCTAGCTTGAAAACCCATAGTCTCTGTCTATTTTAGCAATATTACATGTATTTCATGATATTTCATATTGAATAGGGAAATGGAAATATTGTCCAAGATTGTAAACTTTTAAATGTAAATGTTTGTAATACTGTACGGGATTATCTTAATATAAGTGTTTCATTCCGTTTTAGAATGTGGACCATATTGGAAAGTGAGCTGAGCACTTTGCGAAATATTTTGAGAATCATCTCTTTTTTTTTTTTTTTTATAAACCCTGGCCCAACTTAAGGATTCTGCATATGTTGGATTCAGGTAGGGGATACCGTACAGTAATTACAGTTAATCATTCATTTTGTCGGGAACAGGCAGCATGAGTATCTATGTACTTTATCTATGTACAGTATAGTATGTATATACATAAAGTATATATAACATCGTACTTGGCCTACTATGCACGGCCCAATTTGCCTAATAAGCCAAGTTTGTCTGAATTCATATATTTTTCTAATTTTTTTTCTTATGAAGTGATAAATCTGGCTATTTCATTATGAATAAGTTAATTTCTTTAAATTTGAGTTAAAACTAACGTAGATATATGACCGAACCTAACCAACCCTACCTAACCTAATCTATCTAAACCTAACCAAAACTAACACAACTATGTTAATAATTTATGTTCCTAATATAATATAATAATAATAATTAAAATGAACTAAATGGAAACAATTTATAGAAAATAAAAAAAATCGCTCGGCCCATTAGGCAAATCGAGCCTTGCATAGTAGGCCAAGAAGTACGTTCTGGCTATTAGGTATGACATATATATGTATGTATGTATGTACATATATATATGTACATATATATATGTACATATATATATATATATATATATATATATATATATATATATATATGTATATATATATAATATATATATATATATATATATATATATATATATATATATATATATATATATATATACATATATATACATATATATATATATATATATATATATATATATATATATATATATATATATATATATATATATATATATATATATGTATATGTATATTATTAAATATGACCAAAAAAGTAAGATTAATAATTCTAACACGAATTTTCTCAATATTTCTTATGTTTCTTTTCACTGTCGATGGTACAGTAATTGAAAAATCAATTCTCCAAAATTAATTTTTATTTCTAGTCTAGACTAGAAATAAAAATGAATGTTGGAGAATTGCTTTTTCAATTACCATTGACAGTGAAAAGAAACATAAGAAATATTGAGAAAATTCGTGTTAGAATTATTAATCTTACTTTTTCGGTCATATTTAATAATATATGTTTACAAGAAAGACTGCTACCAAAATATACTAATATATATATATATATATATATATATATATATATATATATATATATATATATATATATATATATATATATATATATATATATATATATATATATATATATATATATATATATATATATATATATATATATATATATATATATATATATATATATATATATATATATATATATATATATATATATATATATATATATATATATATATATATATATTAGTATATTTTGGTAGCAGTCTTTCCTGTAGACATATATTATTAAATATGACCGAAAAAGTAAGATTAATAATTCTAACACGAATTTTCTCAATCTTTCGTACATTTCTTTTCACTGTTGGAGGTAAATAAAAAATCAACTCTCCAAAATTCATTTTTATTTCTAGTCTGACACGACACGAGCGCGTTTCGTAAAACTTATTACATTTTCAAAGACTTTAGTTTACAAATACACAACTGAATAGAACTTACGCATCTCCGATTTTATATCTACACTTGAGTGAGGTGGATGGGGTGAGGTGGCATTAATAGGGTATTAATTTCATAATTAATACCCTATTATGAAATTAATACCCTATTAATGCCACCTCACCCCATCCACCTCACTCAAGTGTAGATATAAAATCGGAGATGCGTAAGTTCTATTCAGTTGTGTATTTGTAAACTAAAGTCTTTGAAAATGTAATAAGTTTTACGAAACGCGCTCGTGTCGCGTCAGACTAGAAATAAAAATGAATTTTGGAGAATTGATTTTTGATTTACCTCCAACAGTGAAAAGAAATGTACGAAAGATTGAGAAAATTCGTGTTAGAATTATTAATCTTACTTTTTCGGTCATATTTAATAATATATATATATATACATATATATATATATATATATATATATATATATATATATATATATATATATATATATATATATATATATATATATATATATATATATATGCCATCTGAGGAGCTGGAGGAACTCGACAACCTATGATAACCATCTTTGTAACCTATATGTAACTCCTTTTTTGTAACAAAGTTCAAATAAAGCAAATACAGTGGTACCTCCCATAACGAATTTAATCCGTTCCATGTTCGTCATGTGAAACGGACGTCATACAAAACGAGTGTCCCCCATGTAACCAGTGTGATGCACTGTGTTTATTGTGAAATTTCCCTAGTGTGCATGACATCAAATGTTCCCCAAAATATAATTTTTCTTTGTAAAATGATAAATTACCGTCCCTGAACATGTCTATGTAAAAATAATTACCAAATTCCACTTACTTTGGCTGTGAGGGCGTGGACAAGGTGCGCTGTGACGTCATCAGGGGCTGGTCGCCCGTGTGTGAAGCTCCCAGACACGGTCGCGCAGGCCATTCAAGCACCGCGTGTTGCTACAAATATATTTTCAAATATTTTTCCTATGCATTTCCAATGCGGTTTTATTTGTTTCTTTTATCGTATATGATGCATATTTGTGACCTTTACAATATGTATACAGTAGAATGTTCATAATTTTCCATGAAACTGTGATACATGTGTCAGTAATGTGTCCACAATAAATGTTTATTGTCACAATATTACGTGGTAAAAATGCACTAATATTACAATATGTACAGTTTCACATACTATTTACACAGTAACACACTGTATTACACACTCAGTACTTTGGAGGTGCGTAATAGTCAACGAAGTAGTCCATGGTACACAGCGCGACTTTGCTCTCCTTGCACCAGCTACAGATAGATTTTTGTTTCCTGTTTCATCGTTCTGTGTGCTTGCAAATAACGCACTCGCGTGCACCCTTGGCTTTAGTACTTGTAGGTGGTATGTAGCCAAGCTTGTAAAGCATAAGGTAGTATTGAAACGATTATAGGAAAAGCTCAATTTGTAAGGTAGTCTTGAAAAGATCGCTTTGTAAGGTCCCACACAGGAAGAGATTCAGCTAGCCTCAAAGAGTGTCCATCAGTCAGGAAGAGATTCAGCTAGCCTCAAAGAGTGTCCATCAGTCAGGAAAAGATTCAGGTATTCTTAAAAATATCAATGAACACCACCACCATGGAAGCCGCTAACACTGTTCATCTATGCTACTTGTATCAGATGCATCATCACTGAACGCAGAAAACGATTCATCTATGTATCATCTATATACATTAGAGATGGCAAGGGTGGGGCTCAGAGCTACACCTGGATACACTCGCTGTATCATCCTCATAGGTGCTGTATCACAGGCATCCGACCGTTGTGTTAAGCCCTTATTGCGCCTAGCTTCACCAATGTTATGACCCTTATGTTCTTCAAACAATAGGGTCTGAATTGCACTGACTGAGTACAGTCTTTCAACACCGTGTGGGACAGGTGTTTGAGAGCCAGAGGCATGTGTGCTACAAATGGTTGCTCACGCAATACTAACCCAGCCAGCAGCCCTTGTCTTTCATATTCGTTATAGCAAAAGGTTCGTTCAGTGTTTGTTGGGTAGGCTGCTCCATTATGACAATCTTTCTTTGTTTCAAATGTGTTCCATTTGTTTTGTATTTATCACTTACGTCTCAATAATGGAGCAGCCTACCCGACAAACACTGAACGAACCTTTATGACATTTGTCCATTTTTCAAATTGTTTCAACAGTTCTTTTATTTTTCGTTTTTTTTTTTTTTTTTTAAGAAACATGGAGCAGTCGACCTGTAGACCACCGAACGAACATTTTTGACATTTGTACTGGTTTTCAAAATTCTTCATATTTTTTATTATTTACGTTTTTTGTATGTAAGAAACATGGAGCAGCCTACCTGCCGACCACCGAACGAACCTTTTGCTATAAGACAAATGAAAAATAAATATTGAACACATTTGAAGAAAGGAAAATGTCATAATGGTTTATTCAGTGTATGTAAGGTAGGCTTCTCCATTATTGAGACGTAAATGACAAATAAAAAACAAATGGAACACATTTGAAACAAAGAAAGATTGTTATAATGGAGCAGCCTACCTGCCGAACACCGAACGAACTTTTTTGACATTTGTTGTATATCAGATATTTCATTTCTTTTTTCCTACAAAAACGTCAATGCTTTGCAACATCTCAGCAGTCACCCCTTTATATCCCAGCATCATTAGCATCTTTAAACAAGAACAACATAATTTATGTGCATCGTCGGAGGCGTCTAAGAATGTGCAAGCAGCAGCGCGACCCCACCATGTGGTGTTGACGTTACTCAAACCAGCGTTCGTCATACGGGACGATTTGACACCGATCGGGCCGTTCGTTACCCAAAATATTCGTCTTTTGGGGCAATCGTTATGCGAGGTACCACTGTATATATGTGTACATACAAAAGAATGGGGGTGGTAGGAGAAGATAATATTAGTGTTCAGTGAGAAACCACAAGGTCTTCTCTGAATACTTTTTATTTTCTTCTCCGAGGCTATGGGTCCCCACATTGGCACCAGAGGTGGTACCCTCACAAATTTAAAAAAAAAAAAAAAAAAAAAAAAAAAAATATATATATATATATATATATATATATAGGGGGGTACCACCACTGGTGTAATTATAGGGACCCACAGCCACAGAGAAGGGAACACAGAGCACTCAGGGAAAAACTTGACATTTAACTCTGAATACGAAAGAGTGTTCACTTCTCCTACCACCCCCTTTTTTTTTTTATTATGATGTACACTTTATTATGCAAGGTTATACAGTTACATATCTGATTTTATACAAAAAATGAACATTAAGAGGACACAAGAAAAAGTTCGCTTCCTAGAGGCTGTAGATTTCCTCGAACTCCTCCGACGCCGGGCAGGAACCGAGGATGCAGCGGGCATTTCCCCTCTGGATCGCGACACTGAGGCGCTGAAAGAGAAAACTTGCTGCTCTAGGGTCTCTTGTGGTGTCAATGAGCTTGGAACCAAGATCCTTAAGAAACCTTCTTGC